CACCTGGGATACACCTGGGGGAGGTGGGATACAGCTGGGATACACCTGGAATACACCTGGGATACACCTGGAATACCTGGGATACACCTGGGGGAGGTGGGACACACCTGGGGGGCACCTGGGATATACCTGGAGATACACCTGGGATACACCTGGGGGAGGTGAGATACAGGTGGGATACTCCTGGAATATGCTTGGCACATACCTGGGATACACCTGGGGGAGATGGGACACACCTGGGATACACCTGAGGGGCACCTGGAAGGAGGTGGGACACACCTGGGCACACTTGAGATACACCTGGATATGTTTGGGGGGCACCTGGGGGCATCTGGGATATACCTGGGCACACCTGGACTTACCTGGGGCACACCTGAGGCTCACCTGGGTTTACCCAGGGCACATCTGGGCACATCTGGGATACACCTGGAGTTATCTGGGATACACCTGGAGTTACGTGGGGCGCACCTGCAGTACAGCTGGGCACACCTGGACTTACCTGGGGAACATCTGGGGGTCACCTGGGCACACCTGGACTTACCTGGGACACACTTGGGGTACACCTGAGGCTCACTTGGAGCACACCTGGGGGTCACCTGGGCACACCTGGACTTACCTGGGGCACACCTGGGACACACCTGGGACACACCTGAGGCTCACCTGGGGCACACCTTGCTGCACTCGAGGCTCATCCGGGGCACCTGTGGGCTTACCTGGGGCACACCTGGGCGCCCACTTACCTGTGCCCACCTGGCCAGGGGCAGTGCCAGTGGCGGCAGCCGCCGGGGCGGGAGATTTACCGCAAGAGCAACATCTCCGTCTACGAGGTGGACGGGAAGGACCACAAGGTACGGCCCGGACACACCTGGGGGGTACCTGGAGGGCACCTGGGACACACCTGTGCCCACCTGGGACACACCTGTGCCCCGCCCAGATCTACTGCCAGAACCTGTGCCTGCTGGCCAAGCTCTTCCTGGACCACAAGACCCTTTACTTCGACGTGGAGCCCTTCGTGTTCTACCTGCTCACCGAGGTGGATCGGCACGGCGCCCACATCGTGGGCTACTTCTCCAAGGTGGGCGCTCACCTGGGGCACCTGGGGCACCTGGGGCACCTCTGTCTGCTCCTGTCACCCTGTGTTTGCTTTTGTCCACCTGTGCCACCTCACCTGTGTCACCTGTGTCACCTGTGCCCACGTCGTGGGCTACTTCTCCAAGGTGGGCGCTCACCTGGCACCTCACCTGGGGCACCTCCTGTCTGCTCCTGTCACCCCTTGTCTGCTCCTGTCACCTCCCTGTGTCACCTCACCTGCGTCACCTCCCCTGTGTCACCTGTGTCACCTGTGTCACCTGTGTTACCTGTGCCCACGTCGTGGGCTACTTCTCCAAGGTGGGCACTCACCTGGGGCACCTCCTGTCTGCTCCTGTCACCCTGTGTTTGCTTTTGTCCACCTGCACCACCTCACCTGTGTCACCCCGATGTCCCCAAAGTCCCCCAATCCCCCCAAATCCCCCCAATGTCCCCCAATTGTCCCCAAATCCCTCCAATATCCCCAAATCCTCCCAAATGTCCCCAAATCCCTCCAATATCCCCAAATCTCCCCAATGTCCCCAAATCCTCCCAATGCCCCCAATCTTCCCCAACACCCCCGATGTCCCCAACCCCCCCCAGTGTCCCCAAATCCCCCCAAATCCCCAAATGTCCCCAAATTGTCCCCAAAATGTCCCCCCCAGGAGAAGGAGTCCCCGGACGGGAACAACGTCGCCTGCATCCTGACGCTGCCCCCGTACCAGCGCCGGGGTTATGGGAAGTTCCTCATCGCCTTCAGTGAGTCTGGGGGGGGGGTCCCCGAATTTGGGGAGGGGTCCCCAAAACGGGGAGGGGTCCCCTGAAATGGGGGGGTCCCCAAAACGGGGGGAGTTGCCCCAAAAGAGGGGGATTTGGGGTCCTGAAAGGGCGTTTTGGGGTCGCAAAAAAGGGGGAGTTTGAGGTCCTAAAGGGGGGATTTGGGGGTGTTTGGGGGGGTCCCTAAATTTGGGGAGGGGTCCCCAAAACGGGGAGGGGTCCCCTGAAATTGGGGGGGTCCCCAAAACAGGGGGTTTGTCCCCAAAAGAGGGCGTTTTGGGGTCGCAAAAAAGGGGGAGTTTGAGGCCCTAAAGGGGGGATTTGGGGGTGTTTGGGGGGGTCTCTGAGGGGATTTGGGGAATCCCTGATGGAATTTTGGGGTCCTGGGGGGGTTTTTGGGGTCCCTGAGGGTGTTTTTGGGGTCTCTGAGGGTGTTTTTGGGGTGCCCTGACCCCCCAACCCCCCCTTTCCCAGGCTATGAGCTGTCCAAGCTGGAGAGCACCTGGGAGGGATTTGGGGGATCCCTGAGGGGGTTTTTGGGATCCCAGGTGGATTTGAGGGGAATCCTTGGAATTTTTGGGGTCCCTGAGGGTGTTTTTGGGGTCCCTGAAGGTCATTTTTGGGGTCCCTGCCCCCCTGTTTCAGGCTATGAGCTGTCCAAGCTGGAGAGCACCGTGGGCTCCCCTGGAGGGATTTGGGGGGGATCTCTGGAATTTTTGGGATCTTTGAGGTATTTTTTGGGTCCCAGGGTGTTTTTGGGGTCCCTGAGGGTGTTTTTGGGGTCCCTGAAGGTCATTTTTGGGGTCCCTGCCCCCCTTTTTCAGGTTATGAGCTGTCCAAGCTGGAGAGCACCGTGGGCTCCCC